AGCACACATATGTTCAAGAGGTCGGCTAAAAAAAAGGGCGAATTGATAAACCGACTGCAAGATATACTGCTTTGATTTACTATTAACGAGCAGGTAAGCCTATTTAAAAAACACCGAAGATTTAATACGCTTGTTAACAATGCCTAACGGGTTTGCAGATATGTGGAAATAGAGAAGCTCGTACGAGCTGAGTTTGATGAAAATAACTTAACGAAAAGGGGATACTTTGCGATACACTAACTTTTTTTCGACGAATCTACAATTTACATTGAATATGCCCCGTTTTCCAGGGACAAAAGGCCTCCCCAACCCGAGCTGGGTCTGCTCCCGCGGGCTCTTTTAGCACAGATTTGCCTCATGTTGTATGTTGTACGTTGCCATTGTTATTGTTGGATGTATGTGTGTTGACTGCTGTTATTGTTGTATGGTTGCCTGGTCTTTGCCACAACGTTATATGACTTTGCTGCTGCCTCTGTTACTTTTCAATTGACAATTTTTGCATGTTTACAAGGCAAAGGCAGAGACACAGCCAGGCGCACCGGCAAAAATCCAGAAGCAGCCGCAACTCCTGTCTGGGTTAGTCCTTTTAGGGCTCCGTTTATCAGGGCTGCCGCGGCGGAAGTTTTTGCCTTTCGGCAGCTCCTGCTGCTGCCAGCTCGTTGTGCTCACTTCCTGTTGATTGTATTGTTTATTATGGCTCATAGAGCAGCGTTGTGGCCCAACTATCCATGAATCACAAGCCCAACTCAACCCAAACCTCACATCGTGCTCATAACTGTCATTTGCATGTGCCGTCAGCTGCTCTTGACGCTGCATTTAAAATCAAACGGATATGAAATTACTTCGAAGACTTTTTACCCTTTAATTGCCGTTATATATCATGATAATTATTATGCTAATTATGTTGCCATGCAGACGCATTAAGCAGGCTTCAACACGTATACGCAATGTTGCAGTTGCCAGAAATTCGTTGCATACATTTCAGGGCAGCTGCGTTTACATTGCGTGCATTCCCAGGCTTGCCAGTTCACATTCTCCAATTGGCAACCTTTGTGCCTGCCCTTTGAACTTTGATTTCATACAAAATGTTCACAAAATTCTTTGCCGGCGCATTTAAATACCCATTAGCCATACAACTGGGTAAAAAGTGTCATTTGTATGTGTACCAATGTATGTAATAGGCAGAAGAGGATTTGGAAATGGTCCCATAAATAATATATATATTATTCTTCAACAGCATGAATTTATCTACACGTCCATATTAATACTTTATAGAATTATCAAAACCTTAGAACTTTTACAGGGCATCTCCTGCGAGCGTACTCGACTTTGTTATTGCCCTCAAGCCCAACTTTTAGTTAACTTTTTGGTAGGTTAGTTGGGTTTCCTTTTTTTTTATTTTTTTTTTCGGTTATTTTTGTTACCAACATTTAGTGGCTTTTGTGTTCTTTGCGTTTTGAAATTATGCACCCAACTAATTTAATTGGTTAAATTAAATGCCAAATTCTTGAGCGCAGGCCACAAATATTGCGGAATTTTTTGATAAGCATTAAAATTCCATAGAAATTAAGAACCAGGTAGTCAATAGAGTTAATGTTGATGATTATAGAAGCTCAAGCTAAAATTCATAAGCGTATAAAAACATAGCTTGCTTGTGGGCGAAGAAAGTGTTAAAATAAAACTTAAAACTGTTTTTCAAAACTTTTAAAACGAATTGTTAAATAAATTCTGTTTAATGTGAAGTATATGTAGTTATTTAAAAAAAAAATTTATCAAAAGCTTAAACTTGTAATTGCATAAATGAAAACACAAATGAGCAAAGCATAAATCAAATGAATAACAAAATGAATAATAGATAAAAATGAAAATGAATAATATAAATATGATAATCATTTGCTAAACTTTTGACAAAAGTGTAGCTAAATATAAATGAGCATAAAATGTTTAAAATCGCATCAGAAACTAACGTAAAAGCGCCGGAACACTTTTTGTTGTGCCACCCAGCAAGGATTTGCCGGCACACGGATATTTATATCCTTGTGGGAGCAACAGCAACTCGAAAGGCAACATTTTGAGCCGGGAATAAAATGAACATCACAATTGCGCGACAACATTTGCAACACATGCAGCTAGAAGCAGCTGGGGGAGAGGGGGCAGAGCAGTGAGGAGTGGAATATTTTTGGAGAAAATACAACATGAAATTGGAAAACAAACTTTTGCTCAACGCCTGCAGGATGCGAGTTGCTAGTTAACAATTTGGCCAACTGGCCAACTGGTTGGTTTTTCGCTCTCTCGCTTTTTTTTATGACCAATTAAAAGTGCAAATTATATTTGCAAAAGTGGAAGGAGAAAAGAACATAAATTAAATTTTAAAAACTTTTATAGCTACGAAAAGGCAGTGTGAGTGGTGTTAAAGTTACTAATATAATTTAATATTCATTTTCGAATTTCATAAACTTAATTTTGATCATTGTGCATATTTTAAATAAAATAAAGTTAATTTTGTTCTTGGTGTATGTTTTATAAGAGAAAATTCATATATCTTTGAACAAACTCCTCAATGTATCACTCTGTTGTTACACATGCCTCACTTGCTTCTTCTCTTACACTTTCCCTCTTCTCTCTCTCTCCCTCTCGCTCTCCGACTTCTGTCTTAATTAATGGATTAACTTTTAATCAGTATGAACAAAGACAATATAAGCACTAAGAAAAATATTGCTAATATATTTGAATATGACGCAAAATTTCTAGCCTGGCTGTTCATCTGGCTTTTCGCTCCTCAAGCTAAAAGCCAGGTAACTGGCTTTACGCTCTGCAAAAGGCCACCAGAACGAATGCCTCAGTCGCGGCGCAATTTCTCAACTTTGTGAAACCTGAACTTATGCCGATCAGATGGAAACGTTATAACATATTACCGTAATCCGAATTATCAGTCGAAAATTGAACTGTCATATTTAGGTAAAATTTTAAAGATAATCTCAAACAATTTCGGCTACAATCTGTGCTCCGCACAAAACAAACTCTTATAAACAACCTCAAGTAAAGAAATTTATTGCAAATGCCTATTACTTAATCATCTCACTTTTCTCAAAAAGTTGATTATAGAAAATTATGAATAATAAAATGCCCATGTTCATGTTGTTAATAATTAATAAATACACATTTAAGGGCCAGAACCTAATGCGACTTTCATAACATGGGCGCAGCATATATATAATACCTTTTCAGCGCATAATTTCATACCTGCTCAAGCTATGCAAAATTATGTTAAATACCGAGAAGAAGAAGCTGTAGAGATGTGTGTATTTGCCTTCATCAACATGATTCAGTCTTCATTACAGCCAACACGTAGCCGAGCCATGGCCCATAATAATGCACATTATATTATGATTTTATTATAGCGTGTAATGCGCTTAAATGTAGGATATTTGCTCTGCTGGATGGCTCCGTTGACTGTAAGCCCGGTTGATAACATTTTCTTAGCCCTGTTATAAATTCATGTGGCACAAAGCGTTTTCTGCATTTATTTTGCATGTCACAAATACCAAAAACAAAAGGCCACCGAGGCGACAGGCGACACAGCGGCCGACGCCCACCAACAACGCCTATGCAACGCCACAAAAGCACTTGCCACTGCCACGCCCCCTTGCTGCATGTTATTGCTGTGTGTGTGTGTGTGTGTTTTTTTTGTGCATTGTGTTTACTAAAATAAACAAACAAAGGGGAAGCACACAGAGAACACAACGTTGAACGGCCAGTTGAGCCACAAATGAAGCCCAGCACGCAGCACGTACCAAGGGGCGTATGCGTGTTGCGGCAGCTACAGCAGCTGCAACGTTCAACGTGCAACGTGTGCCTGCAACGAGGACAACGCTGCCCGAGAATGTAGGTTAGCTTGCAACGGTTCAACCGAGTCTTTCGTTCATAATGAGCCACACTTGATGCGAGCCACATTTGAGTCGGGGCCAAAGCATAAATTAATTGGTTAGTTCACACGCACACAGACACAGACAAGCACACACTCACACACACACACACACACACACAAAGAGGTGAATGAGAACAGGGACAAGGGGGCAATAGAGCCTTAAACAAGTGTTCTTAAGGTATCTATTAAGAACTAAATGTAGGCAATATTATCTTAAGACAAACCGACCGTAAATACGCTTACGCGCTTGCGTAATGTATCTAAGGATATGTATCTCTGGCATGTTAAATTGTCATACAAGAACATAACTATTGACCTTTAGCTCCGATTTTAGCTGCAAATTACAATATTTCTATGCCACAATTTCCAATTGAATACTCTCTTTAATATCTTTAAATAAGCTATCGAATTTATCGATAGTAATTACACAAAATATCGAACCATAGCACAATCGATTATTTAACAAGCAAACGCAAATTTAACTGATTACCTAATTGATTAAATATCAATTACCTATCAAATTCAAGGTTTTTTTATAATCTACCTAAATAGTTGATACAGCCAATAACTAATAAGATAGGTCAAGCACCGCCCCCAAGTGCCCGTTGAACTGCGTTGTTTTTCGCTGAGGCATCAATAAGTAAATTATAAGTCCCATTGACAACAATCTGAAAAATAGAAATACTTCCCGATAACACCTACACATGATTTACATATTTTAATGTGCGCTGATAAGGCACGCTGCATATATGTTAATTTGCATGCACATTTTTCATTCCAGTAAAATCGAAAATCAAGACGAGGAGCAACATATTAAGATTTTCGGATTATAAACGAACTGATCTTATATTTCATTAAATATTAATTATTTTGAAAGCAGACATCAACAAATATATAGTTCGCTTTATAAACTATCGGCATTATTTTTCATTAAATAAAAGAGCATGAAAAATAAAAAACCCAAGGTAGCCAGACAGACAGACTCTTAAGCGATAAGTAACTATACTATAGGACTTTCCCAGAGATTACAATAAATGCGCTGCAATAAATATGCATATAAAATATGAATTCGAGAACCGAGCATCAGTTGAAATTGAGCTGCCGAAGACTGCAAATCCTGGACACAATGAAGATTAAAGTCGCATTCTTTCTGGTATTCACAACCATTGCATTGGCCAGCGGTGAGTTTTGGAGTGTATTTAAGTTGCTTTGGAGAATACTTATTGTATTTATATAAATTTATAGGCTTCCGAACGCCAGATTGTCCGCATTGGAGCAAATGCTGGAAGGATTATCAAAGCGGCCGCGTTGTCTACTGATTGCAATTTGAATATTTAATAATGTTTAGTACTAGAAATGTCAACATCATCATCAAAATGTGTGTACTCAGCAATCATATAGTGAATAAATAGTTATTAATTGAAAATGATATGAAACGATCCCAATGGAATGCAAAAAACGTGTCATTTAAATCGTTTTCCATTAGGCTTATGTGCTTAATTAAGCGTTAAGGCCATTAGACCGAATGCCATCAGAACTCTGCCAATGGAATAAAGCTTAATGCAAAATAAATATATACTACCACTAATTGCACGCAGAGACCCAACACACGCACACACACACACACACCCTATTTGTCAACTTTATAGGTAATCCTCCAACAGAGCTGTTCGTATTATCCGAATCGTAGGCCGTACAAATTGGCACGCAATGCGAAATACGAATAATCTGCATTGAGATTGACAGGCTTATCAAATTTGCCCCATTTTGAAACTCAGAAATTGGATTAGCCCAGAAATAAGAATTGGCAATTTAATAATCTAAAATATTTCTTATTATTTCCAAAAATCTTGTATATAGTCATCGTATTAACCGGAAAAATCATTAAATATTCAAATTTTCCCTATTAAAACTCCTACTCTACTTCCAGAGAAGTATCTCTATAGCTCGAATAGTTAATGTAACGACCGCTAGATGGCGCCACACCCACGCGTGCCACAATTATTCAGTGCTTTTCAAAGGGGGGCTGTACTTAATTTTGAAATGCACAGTATTTTCACAACCGCCATGATTGACATGGGCTTGACGCATTATTGATTGAGCTGAGCTGAGCTGAAGGAAGCGGGGTAGAGCGTAAATATGTATGCATATTCATAGCTGGCATTAAGGTAAATACACATACACATTTAGTTAATGGCCAGGTGTGAACGCCTTGTCATTTAGTACGCACAACTTTATTCCATTAGTTATGTACAAATATAGCCTAGACTTGGGTAAATGGAAAATAGATACCTACAGCTATTGATTTTTATGCCCCTAAAATGCACTGAGCAAAGTATCTAAATGGAACAAGGCTACAAGACTTAAATATTTCAACTGTGCGGGGTATTTACTCAACTCTCATTCAAATTTCGAGTATTTCTTCACGTGAGTTAATTTGCGATATTTTTTAATTTTTTTTCAGTGTATGCAACGAGCCTGCTTAAGAGATATGCTGTGTAAAATAGAACTTATATAAGCCGCTGCGAATAAGCCACACAAAGCGAAACCCTGGACTTTTCGAATACATTTTAAGTAGATGTCATTAGACTTGTACCCGCTGCCAAATGACTTTGACAACAACATAAATCCATTAATATCTGGCGCGTTAAATGTGATTGCCTTGGCCAGAGCTGAACTCTGCAAACTCTGGCAACTTGGCGCTTTTGTTTGCTTAAACATTTAAATAAACAATAGAAATTACTTTTGAACTCTTGGTTTTGGTTCGTTCAGGTGAGCTGCTACGAATGCCTGAATATTTCTTTCTTTGTTGTCAAATCGATTTTTATATTTCTTTCTTCGTTGCAGCGTTGTCGGCATTGTTATTTTTTTTTTTTTTGTGTTCTGGTTCTTTGTTTTGCGCTGTTTTTGGTATTTTGTGCTAGCAATTTGCTTTTATCTTTCGCTTTGGTATTTTTAGGTAGCATAGCAGAGATTATTTTAATGTCAGGTGTGCATTTTAAAAGAGAGCTTATTTAAAAAAAAAAAATGCAGATGTAAAAGGGGCTAATCATTTAAACCCTTAAGATAGTTGCCTCTAAAACTAATTTGATCACTGATCGTATCGATAACGATGTTTGATATCGATTGCAGTTATTGACTCACCTCGATAACACTATCGCTGCCCAGTCCGCAGATCTTGTTCTTATTGTTGTACAGTTTCTGATCGAACTGCTGCTTGCGCTGTCTGCGCTGCTTACGTGTGGCTAAACGCAGACCCCCGCCGCCGCCGCCGCTGCCGTCGCTGCCGCCCACAACCTGCGCTGCAATGACAATTTCGTCGTCTTCGTCGTCGTCGTCGTCGTCGCCGGCGTCGACGTCGTCGTCGTCGTCGTCGTCGTTTAGTATTAAACCAGCAGGTGGCGTTCCACTCGCATTGAAGTCATCGACATCGATATCGGCTGCTGTGTCCGGCAGCAAGTCTAAATCACTTTGAAAGCTCAGATCCAAATCTTGGGGCAGTTTTGCATACTTTTGATTATTTTTCATTGTTCCTGCTTATTTGTATGGGCAGTCTCGCATGAGTCATGCCATGTGCAGAAATGTCCTAGGAGAATGGATACTGTTATCGGTTTATCGTTTTGATTTGTTATTGTTGCAATTCGCGCGTTGCTTTCTTACTCATTAAGCTACACATACACGCACACGCACACACACAATCGCACACAAACAAACACGCAAACGTGAACATGAACCAAAACAAAATGAGCACAATCGATTTTTCCGCCTTGTCGCTGCGTTCTCTTTGTTTTTGCCCCACTGCCAGCGATAATCACAACAACAACAACAGGTTCTTGTCTTGGCTGCACTTCAATGCAACAAATTGGGCGCAACTCGTTGACTCCAATTCAATCGTCCTGGTGCTCGTAGGTGCCGCCGCGACACCCCGTTTTAGCTCTCTGCTACGTAATTAACACAAGCAAACACACACACACACACATCAAATTGCAATTGCACTTTACAATGTCAAACAAACACTCACACACACACACACTCACACACACACACACAACAAGCAAGCACACACCTACGAACAATGCGTTTGCTGATTATTTCGCATTTACGATTGAAATTCGATTTGATACACTTGTGTTCTCGGTTCTGTTTCCAATTAGATAGATTTATGCGCTTTTTCCCGACTTCTAGTTTTATTTACCATTTACCGTAAAGACGTCTGCACGCCAACAGAATCGCGTCGCGTATAAAACACAGCGCCAATGCCGATGCCGCTTTCCCCCTATGACTGGTATGTTGCGTGTGTTTGTGTGTCCGTGGTGTAGGGGCTGATTGGGGTAAAAAGTTATCGAAATAAATTGTATCACACGAGGAACCATCGATTCTTGTATGTCTGGCAACACTATTTATCGCAGTGGATACTGACATGACAGCAAGCAGCTTTTGTCATGTAGCACTCAAGGGATGTTCCATAACGAAATTTTGAATTCAAAAACACACACACGCGCTTAAAATTTACTTTTCTTCCACAACTTCTATTGAAAGGCACTTTGGAAATTGTATTATGAGAATCGTTTTTGATCAGTTGATTTATTCAAAAGCAGTGATTTTTTTTTTTTTTTGTTTTTTAAATCGATTATGTTGGGCCTTGTTTGTCGATTTAGTCCCTTTATAGTTAATATCGTAGAGATACCGCGCACATACCACTATTTGTTGTATTTTTGTTTTCTTCTGAAATATAAGTATGTATACTTATTATGTATAAGTAGTTTCCTTGATTAAAAATTATATCTTAAAAGGATAAGCATCATTGTAGCTACCACAAGGTGTACTTTTTGTTCTTCTTCATCTTATATATAGAAAACATTTATGTGTTTGTGAATTATGCTGCACTGCTAATAATTGTTAATAAATGTTGAAGCTTCAAGGACAAAAGCGTCTCCGAAACGATCGAATATTAAAAATGATTTAATTTAGCTATAAAATTGTGTAAATATATAAATATAAATACTGTTCGCTTACAAAATAACACGCATACACGCAAGTTTGTCAAATGTTCCAAATAAATTATGACATTATGTATAAATATGATTTCTTTCCGTCGCCGTAATACAGTATTACATACATTTAACCAATTAAATATAAGATAAGTTGCAGCAATAAAATGCCTTAAGTACATACATTCATTCTGTCTCTTTTCTTTCTTCTCATTTTGTTCTTTCCTATCTGTTTAATTCAATTAATTTAATTACTGGCCACATTCTGGAGATGCTTCGCGTTTCTTAGATAATGTTTTGTGTTTTGCGAATGCGCCACTGTGCAGTGTTGGATAATGGAAAGTAATGCAAAATGTGTGTTGTAAATGTGAATTATAAGCGTTCAATAGCAGCAAAGGTGAGTTAAGTGAAAACCAGTTAGTTTGGAGACTAACAGAATAGGCTCCATAAAAATGTCGCTTTCAAAAGGATGTTTAGAATGGGCTTAATTAAAAAAGAAAATATACAGACAAAGGCTTTCAAGGATGCAGTAAATGGCTTTTGAAGTCATTTGCAGCTTAGAAGTTGCAGCGCATGCGTCTTGTCTGAACTAATTGCTGAGCTTAGCCTAAACAATTCTCAACCCGGCTTAAAATGTATAATCGACTTATGTAAAACTTAAGTTTATAAAAAAATAAACATGGCAAGCGCTTAAGCGTAACTTAAATTAGTATGTATACTAAATAGCTTAAGAGTCAACTATTACTGATGTTGTTGTTGTTGTTGTTGTTCTTGCAATTGCTGCATCAATTGTTGCTTCGTTTCGGCTTTCACAGTTTTATAGCGATCCTTCTCCTCGGTATTCTCGGGCGGCTCACACTCAAAGGATGCAATCGAGAGTGTGTTCTCATTGAGCACCGCACTATGCTGCAGGTAGGCAATTACATTCGGCAATTTCTCAAATGGACAGGTGACCTTCTTCCATTCATTGAATTCCATGACTTGTTTGGCGAGTTGTGAGCATTTCTCAAAGTTGATATGATTGTTTGGCAAACTGCAAAAGCGAACAAAAGGGTAATTAGTTATTTTGTAAATCAAATTGTAATTGTGGTGCTTACCGATTCGAGCAGCCTTCGTTCAGAAAATATAAATCCTTAACAAATAAACTAAAAAATGGAATGATTATGCGTTCGCGTTCCTCTGTAGCGCCCTCGGAGCGCCACATGGCAGCTTTAAGCGTCGAGCGATAACTATTAAAATTCGATGTTGGATCCATTTGATGTTCCAGCACAGAGAATTTTGCCGATTGCACTTTAGACCACTGCCAATTACGAAAAAAAAGTGGATTAAATGTTGCGACTCTGCTTTAATATTTGAAACTTACCGTCTTTTTAAGTCTGCCAATGGGAGCTAGATTCAGACCAGCTATTATGGCCATCAGACTGTTGAAATTGCCAATGTTGAAGCATTCCCGTGCCGTCTCGATCCAATACTCGATAATGCGCACACGCTGCTTCTTCTTCGGATACTGTTGCAGACAAAGGAAATGGATAAATGGCATGTTCGACTGATACCCTAACACACATGCGCTGAAAGCAGGGA